CATGTCCATTTGACTCTCTCCTAAATGAGTGTTTCCTCACTGTTCAATCCCTGGTCTGCTCTTCTCTCTCTCTATTTCTTTACCACCAGTGTCGTCCACACATTGAGTATGGATAATTGCTTCTTCGTAGGGAGCTTTTGAGATTCCATCTCTTGTTTTAGTCTCACTGGGACCTCCTTCTTTATTTATAGCACTAGAGAAATCACACTGTGTCCTGGATATTTTCCCCTAGAGAATAGAAGCAGGAAATGGAGATCACTGTCAATATTTAAAAGTTCAGATATGCAGAGAGTTCATATCTGGTAGGACTTAGAAATTTTGTTTAAATCAAGATTGGCTCAGGAATTGGGAGCTGCACTGAAGAAATAAGGAAGGGGCTCATATCAGCTTGTATCGAGCCTCCTAACACCCCTGCCCTCGCACCAAAGGATCATTAAGCACAGACTCCCAGCACTTCATGTGGGTAGACCGTCTCCTGAATCCTTTGTTGTGTCCACCTCACACTTCACTCCCTGACCTGCTCTTGATTATCCTAGTCCTTGATTCTTGGACTCATTACTTTACACACTGGCAGCTGCTGCTAATCCTGACACTTAATTCAATCTCTGGCCCTAAGTCTGGCTCCTGTCCTCCCCCACAATTTGCATTACTGTCTTTGATACTGCTGCTTCCATCTCTCCTCAGTCCGACTGATCATATTGACTGCTTTGGAGCATATTGGAGTATGTATGCTTCGATAGAAAGATACATACAAGAGAAGTGTTAACAAGGTATAAAATTGTTAAGTAGTGAAAGAGTGAAGAAAAGCATTCGAGTGTATTGCCCAGTTAGTTGTTGCAGGAAGCGAATATAACTCAACATGTTGAATAAGCAAAGGAACAGACTTGGGAACTTAGAAGAGGAGACTTGAGCTGAAGCTTAGAGGTCAAAGGGGGCCTACTTGGCTGGGTGTTTCAATCTGGGGAGATGATGAAGTTGGTTCTGCTGTCTCTGAGATGGTGCAACGGTGTTAACTGTGTAAGTTAGGGAGAACATAAGTCAGATGCAGGTGCTGCTACGGAAGTGCCAATGCCTGGGTGAAGAATGGTTGCTGGGGTGAGGCTCACAAGAAAAGCAAGTAGACAGAAAGCCCCATGAAGAACAGAAACAAGCAAGTCCCTTCTTCCTTCTCCAGTCTCTCTTCTGACCCCTTGTGGCAAAGCCCAACTAAATGCCAGCTGTGAAAAGTGAACATGGTTTGCCCCCACATGGTAGAGCAGAATATAGAAGGGTAGGTTTGGGGCTGACTGACAATAATTAAATAACTAGCAGGTGTGCTTTGCCTGCCTTCCACAAAAATGTGGGTGCTCAATCTGTTCTCGGCACAGAGGATAGAACCATGAGTAAAACAATAATATGAATTTCTCTTTGAGTAGCTTATATTCTATTATATACATTATAGTGGGGAGAGATAGATGGACAAGAAATAAGTAAAAAGCCTAACATGTTAGGTGCTAAGTGGTCTGAGGAAAGATTAAGAAGGGGAAGGTGATAGGAGAGCTGAGGGGTGGGAAGAGAGCAGGTGTCAATTTTAACTAGGCTGTTCAGGGAAGGGCTGAAAAAAGACAAGAGAGCAAAGACAGAGGGAGTGAGTCATGCACATATTTGAGGAAAGAGCATTCTAGATAAGGGCAGGGTAAAGGGGAAGGCTGAGTAGGTTGGGCCTTATCTACCATTGTAGGGGCTGTGGCCACTGCATGGTGATGCGGGCAGCTTTGGAGCACATGAGTGACACGATCTGACTTACCTTTCTGAACGATCCTTCTAGGTCCTCTTTTGAGATTTCGGTAGATTGGCCTCCCTGGACCTGGATTCACTTCAGCCCTGCCAAAGGGACCTTAATTCTGAATCCAGAGTCTTGCCTTCCATTTGTCTCATTTCTTTCTCTGTGTACCGTACCTGCCTCTCACAGCACTGCAGTGGTGGGCCCCAGCCAAGCTTCCAATGTCCCTGCTCCTAGGGCTGCACCTTCACTCCACAATCACAGCCCTTGGGGTTTCTTTTTTCTTTTCTTTTCCTTTTTCTTTCCTTTTCCTCCCTCCCTCCCTCCCTCCCTCCCTCCCTCCCTCCCTCCCTCCCTCCCTCCCTCCCTCCCTTCTTTTCTTTCTCTCTTTCTTTCTTTTTTTCCCCTGCTGAATAGTCTCTCCTTATGTAGATCTTAATATATTAATCTACTTCTCTGGTGGTATGTGTGGTCTTGTGAGAGTTGGGTGTGGCTTCATAGTCAACATTTGTTTATTCTTTCAACAAATATGTATTGAGAACCTGTTTTGTGTGAGGTGCTCAAGTAGGTACTGGACATTTGACAGTGAACTAGACACATTAGTTCCCTGTTCTAGTAGTGGCAGTGGTGGGAGAGACAGAAATTTTAAAAGTCTGTATGGAAGATACTTTCAGAGAGTGATAAATGAGATGAAGATCATAAGGTGATTATGACAGTGTGAATGCTGGCTGGTTGGGACTGAGAGGTCAGGAAGAACCTTTTTGATTAGGTGATAATTTTGGTAGAAACCTGAATGACGCCCTGGCTGGTGTAGCTCAGTGGATTCAGTGTGGGCCTGTGAATCAAATAACCACGGTTCAATTCCCAGTCAGGGCACATGCCTGGGTTGCAGGCCAGTTCCCAACAGGAGACTCACAAGAAGCAACTGTACATTGATATTTCTCTCCCTCTCTCCTTCCTTTCCCCTCTAAAGGTAAATAAATTAAATTTTAAAAAAAAGAAACCTGAATGACAAGCAATCAGTCACATGAGAATCTGGGATCAATGAATACTGATGGACATCAGCAGTGTTGGGACTCTGCTTTATGGGGGGAAGCACTCATTTATTTTTGATATTTTGAGCCAGAAGGAGGTGCGTGAAAACCCCTTATTAAACATCTTTCTTCCCCTAATATTTGATGTTTACGGAGTAATTGGTATTTTAATATGTTCTGATAAGGTATTACATACAAATCCTTTTTCCTTTTTGAATATTTTACCAAGCACCATGCACAGGGATATTAAAGAATCATGTAGATTAGAATATCATCTTTCAGGCTCATCTCATGCTCAGGGGCACCTCCTATTAAGCTCCAAGTTAGCAGAGCCTTTGAAAAATTATTTCAAAATAACTACAGATTTATAGAAAGTTGCAAAAAATTTACATGTGCCTTTAACCCAGTTTCCCCAAAGTATAACATCTTGCATAACTATAGTGCAGGATCAAAATCAGGAGATGAAAACATGGGAACTTATTCAGATTTCACCAGTTTTATATGCACTCGTGTGTGTGTGTGTGTGTGTGTGTGTGTGTGTAGTATAATGCAATTTTATGTAACCACTACCACAATTAAGATACAGAAGTGGTCTCTAAACACAAAGTTACTCCCTGCTATTCATTCCTTCTCCCCATAACTAGCCATTGGCAACTGCTAATGTTTTCTATCTCTATAAATTTGTTATTTTAAGAATGTTTGATAAATATTATCATACAGTTTTCACTCAGCATAATGTCCTGAGATCCACTTAAATAGTTGCATGTATCAAGAGTTAATTACTTTTTATCGCTGAGTTCCATGGTATGGATGTACTACACACAGTTTAGTAAATGAATAAAGCCACTATAAACACTCATATACAAGTTTTGTGTGCTTTCATTTTACAGTACAAGGATTTCATTTTTCTGGGATTATGTTCAGAAATACAATAGCTGGTTCGTATGGTAGACAGGTGTTTAATTTTTTCTTTTTTTAAGAAACTGCCAAATTTGCCAGAGTGGCTGTACCATTTCACACTCCCACTAATGCACGAATGATCCAGTTTTTCTGTGTCTTCACTAGCATTTGGCGTTATCACTTTTTCTTTTTTAGCCATTTTGATGGGCATGTAGTGACAGTGGTACCTCCTTCATTTGTGGCTTTTTCTTCATTGGTTAAATAATGTATATACTTTCGCATGCTTACGTGCACTGTGTATATCCTTTTTAGGAAATGTTTGTTCCTGTGTTTTGGCAAATTTTTGAAAGTTCAAACAAATCTCTATATCAATTCTCGACCAAGGTTGGGACCTTGCTCACAAACTTCAGTTAGTTCTAATTCTTGGGGTGACTCTCTAACTTCAAATCTGAAGAAACGCTATGTGATCAAAAGTGGCTCAGCGTTTTTGATCAAAAGAGTGCCATCTCAGGTGCAGGGAAGGGGGAGTAGAATTGCAACCATGAATTTATGGTTTGCAGCGCGGGAAGTTAAATGACCCACACAGTTTAAGTGCTCGACAGGCCCTCAGAAAATTAGTTCCAGGTTGGCGGGACCCAGGTAGCCAACAATGCCAGGAGCCCCTGCCTCCCAACCTGTAACAACCACAGCGGTGCTCCCTAGAAAAACCCTCACAACGCTTCCCGCCTAAAAGCGAAAACTCCACTCCCCGCTTTATTAAGTGCCGGATCTCCAGGTCCACGTGTTGGGGGGGAGGGGGTTCTTCCGGATCGGGGGTGGGTCTTTCCCTGCTGGGCGTAACCGCCCCACCCCCGCTCTCGAAGCGGACAAGGACGGGGTCTCCGGTTGGGGTTCGGGGCGGGGACGGAAGAATTCCGCAGCTCTGGTTACCCGCCTCGTTGCCAGGAGATGGGGGAGGAGGCGGTGCACCAGGAAAAAAGAGTCGGGCACCGCAACCGAGGGGAGAGCGTCCGGGGGCCCCGAGGCCCAATCACCTCCACTCCCTTTTCTAGCTGGAGCGCCAGGTCGGCGCCTGGCTCCGCCCCCACCCTCCCACCCGAGCTGCGCACGCGTCGCACGAGCGGTCACCTCCTCCCCAATGTCCGGCTGGAGGCGGGGCTGCCCGTCCCGCACGGGTTACGCCGCTGTCAGAGCCGCGCTGGAGCCGGTGAACCGAGCCGGTCTCGCGGGACGGCTACGGGAGGGCCAGCACCAGAGGAAGGCGCGCGGGGGGCTGGCCTCCGAGTCCACAGCGGCCGAGGAAAATGGTGTTCGAGTCGGTGGTCGTGGATGTGTTGAACCGCTTCTTGGGGGACTATGTGGTGAACCTGGACAAGTCGCAGCTCACTCTGGGCATCTGGGGAGGTAACGAAACCGCCGCTGTCCCTCAGTCTTGCCTCCCGCGTGACTGTTTCTTGCTGGAGCCGGGCCCTACTATCTTGGGACTTGGGGCCCTTGGCTTGCCAGGCGTAGGCACCTGCCACCGCCCTCCTCGGGGTCAAATTACGTAGAGCCGGTGGCAGTTCCGGGCCTCCGCCCGCAAGTTTATTTTTTTTGTCAGGAGGGGATGGGCTCATGGGGGCTGGATGAAGAGGCCCACTTTTTCCGAGCCTAGTGGCTGAGGGTGCCCTAGGGGACGCCAAGGGTCTGGAGTTCAAATTCCTGCCCTCGTGGTCCGGCTTCAGCTGTGTTGGATGATGGGAGGCAACCAGAAGCACCTGGGCTAGGTCTTACCCGTGTCATTTCTCTCCCTTGGCTTGTGACGGAGAGCCCATGGAGTGTCGCACGCTGCCTTGCACGTGAAGGCAAGACACTGTCACCCAAAACACCCTCCTCTTTCCTTCCCCAGCTTCCGAGTATAGCCAAACCTGGATGTTTTCTTGGGCCACACCACCCGGACTCCGGCTTGCTCTCCTGGATCCGGCTGATAACAAAAAGCGAAACTCCTGTGCGCAATAACTCCAAGGGTTGGGTTGTGTGTTTTCAATGCACAACCTGGCTCAAGAATGTGTTGCGTTTGGGGTTTTGTGGGTCAGAGGGAGTGACTGAATTTTTAAAGAAACGAGGTGCAGGTGTGCATCATACCAACCTTGGAAGAATCAGGGTTTCTTCCTGTGCTTAACGTTGCTTAGATAGTGAAGGACCTAAGCTTTACTTTGTATTTGTTTACTCTAGTGCTCTTATTAGTAGCCTCATTTTTAGTGCTTCCGTCGGCTTTTGTATTACACCCTTAATTTTGAACACCCACTAGAAATTAGGTGCCCTATCTTTATGAAATGAATCTCTCAGGCCAGACGAAGTTTGGGTTAATTTTTTGTGTAAATAGTATATTGTTTTTTAAAAAATTTATTCTTGAATGTGCACACACCTTTAGGCTTCTTCTAAAAGGCTTGTTTTTCTTGATTTTGTCTTTCATAACATAGGTAATTTAGTTTGATATAAGAAGACTAAGAAGACCTCTTGTTACTTACTGATGTTAGTACCCAGAACCATGGTAGACAGTGGGACTAAACAACTAAGGATATAAGTATTAGGTCGTTTCGGATATTGTTTAATCTGTCCTGCTTCTGATTTTTTAAGTTAAAAATAACAAAACATGCTTCCACCTACCTCAGTGGTGGGAGCCTTGTAAATACTTTATGGTGTACTTGGATTTATAGAGGCAGTTTCCTTCTGTGTACTAGGTGGAGGTTTGTGTGGGTGTGATTTATCCCATGATTTGTTTACTTAAAACTTACCTATAATAAAAATTCACTCTCATGATACATAGTTCCATCTGCCTTGACAAAATGCAAAGAGGCATGTAGCCACTATCACAGTCATCATACAGAAGAATTCCAGCAAGTCCCCCAAATCCCCTCTGCTGCCCTTTGGCAATCCATCCTGCCCGGTCCCTGCCCCTCCTCCTGGGAACCACTGATCTATTTCCAACTCTACAGTTTTACCTTTTCTAGAGTGCCAAGTAAGTGGAAATATGTGGTATGTAGCTTTTGGGGTCTGTCCTTTTTTACTTAGTTTTACTCCTTTCATTTAACTTACATCAAATGAATTTGAGAGTCACCCATGTGTCGCATTCCATCAGTGTTTCATTGTTACATATTTTTTAGTAGTTTTTCTTTTGTGTGGTTATACTGTAAATGTTTATCTCTTCAGGGATTGAAGGACACTTCAGTTTTTGGCAATTATGAAGAACTGCTATAAATGTTTCTGTACTGGTTTTGTGTGAATATAAATTTTTATTTTGTTGTATAAATACCTAAGAGTGTGATTTTAGGTCATATGGTAAGTGGACATTTAATTTATGCGAAGTGATGGAACTGCTTTTTAAAGTGGCTCTACCGTTTTGCAGCCTCACCAGTGTTGTATGAGTTCTTAGTGGCTTTGCTCCCTCACTAGCACTTAGTATTGTCACTTAAACTCTTTTTGGCCATCCTGATAGGTATAAAGCATAATGGGTTTAATTTTTATTTCCTTATTAATTAAAGATACTGAGCTTCTTGTTCTTATTTGCTCTTTGGGCATTTCTGTGGATGTATCTGTTCAAATCTTTTGCTTATTTAATTTTTTTCTTTTTCTATTGATATTTAATTCACATATTAAATTCACGCTTTTAAAATGCAAAGTGTTTTTTTAGTGTAGTCACAAAATTGTGCAACTATTAACACTATCTAATTCTAGAACATTTTCATCCCCGAGATAAACAACATACCCATTGAACAGTCACTACAAATCTCTCTTAGTTTCCCTCTACCCTCCCTTCAGCAGCCACTAATCTGGTTTGTTTCTGTGGATTTGGACATTTCTGTGGTTCTGGGTATTTCAAATAAATGGAATCATACAGTATAAGTGGCCTTGCATTTCTGGTTTCTTTCACTTAACATGTTTTCAGGGTTCATTCATGTTATATCAGTATTCATTTCTTTTATGACTGAATAATATTCCATTGTATGAATGCATCACATTTTGTTTATCCTTCATTCAGTTGTCGAACATTTAAGTTATTCCTACTTTTTGACTTTTAAGAATACTGCTGCTGTGAACACTTACATATAAGTTTTTTATAGGCATGTTTCAAATTCTCTTGGGTATATACCTAAAAATGGAATTACAAAGTCATACGACTGTTTAAGGAACTGCAAAACTCTTTTTCAAAGAGTTTGTTTTCTTATTGTCCATTGTTGAGAGTTCTTTAGATATTATGGGTACAAGTCCTTGTCAGATATGTGATTTGAAAATATGTTTTCCCACTCTTTCCCAAGTTTGTCTTTGCAAAGCACAAGTTTTGATCTAGTCCATTTGGTTAAAATTTTTTTATGTTTATTTTTTATTTTTATTTTTAAAGTATATTTTATTAATTATGCCATTATAGTTATTTTATTTCCCCCTTCATTCCCCTTCACCATGTACACCCCCCCACCATTCCCCCCTTTAGTTTTTGACCACGTGTGTCAAGTTCTTTAGATTCTATATTTCCCATACTATTCTTGCCCTCCCCCCTATCTATTTTCTACCTACCATCTATGCTACTTATTTTCTGTACCTTCTCCCCCCTTTTCCTTCTCCCACTCCCCTGTTGCTAACCCTCCATGTGATCTTCATTTCTATGGTTCTGCTCCTGATCTAGCTGTCCTCTTAGTTTGCTTTTGTTTTAGGTGTGGTTGTTAATAACTGTGAGTTTCCTGTCCTTTCACTTTTCATCTTTTTTATCTTCTTTTTCTTAGGTAAGTCCTTTTAACATTTCATATAATAAGGGTTTGGTGATGATGAACTCCTTGAATTTGACCTTATCTGAGAAGCACTTGATCTGCCCTTCCATTCTAAATGAAAGCTTTGCTGGATAGATCAATCTTGGATGTAGGTCTTTGGATTTCATGACTTGGAATACTTCTTTCCAGCCCCTTCTTGCCTGTAAGGTCTCTTTTGAGAAATCAACTGATAGTCTGATGGGAACTCCTTTGTAGGTGACTGTCCCCTTATCTCTTGCTGCTTCTAAGATTCTCTCCATTTTAATCTTGGCTAATGTAATTTTGATGTGCCTTGGTGTGTTCCTTCTTGGGTTCAACTTCTTTGGGACTCTCTCAGCTTCCTGGATTTCCTGGACGTCTATTTCCTTTACCAGATTGGGGAAATTCTTCTTTATTATTTGTTCAAATAAGTTTTCCACTGGTGGCTGTTCCTCTTCCCCTTCTGGTACCCCTATAATTTGGATATTGGAATGTTTAAAGATGTCCTGAAGGTTCCCTAGCCTCTCCTCATTTTTTTGAATTCTTGTTTAGTAATCCTTTTCTGTTTGGTCATTTTTTTCCTCCTTCTGGTCCACTCCTTTGATTTGAGTCCCAGTTTCCTTTCCATTACTATTGGTTTCCTATGTATTTCCCTTCATTTCAATTAGTTTAGCCTTCACATGTTCCTCTAATTTGTGACTGAAATCAACCAGTTCTTTGAGCATCCTGATCACCAGTGTTTTGAACTGTGCATCTGAAAGTTTTGCTATTTCTTCATTGCTTAGATTTATTGGCTCTGGGGCTCTGAGTAGTTCTGGAGCCATGTTTTGATCTTTTTGTGCCTGTGAGGAGCAGAGCCTTGGGCGTTCACCAGGGTGGGGCCACCCAGGTCGCTGGTTTGTGACACTCTATGTGGGGGCCGGGTCAGAGAGGGACAGTGGCGGTTCCCTCTGCTGCTACCTGCAGCTGGGGCCTGTGCAGTCCATCTCACTGCTAGCTCCTTCGCTGGTTTATCTGCATGCGAATGTGTGACCTCGATCAGCCCTCAGTGGGTCCACCGCCTTTCACCCTCAGTGGGTTCAATACCTTGCACCCTCAGTGGGTCCGCCCACTTCTCCACACCAGGGATCCACCCGCGGCTGCTGGTGTACCTGGGTCTCACGCCTGGGTCAGTCCTGTGGATCTTTCCTGCCTGACTCCGCACTGCTGCTGGCTCTGCCCCTCTTACCAATTTGGTTGAAGGGTTTGTTGTCAGACTTCTGCGTAGTTCAATTTTCTGTGGTTTGGCTGCGTTTTTGTTGCAAAAACTGTTGTTTTTAAACTTGGTTGTGTGAGAAGGCGCAGTGCTTCCTCCTCTACCTCCATCTTGGTGGAAGTCCCAGTTGGTTAAAATTTTTTGGAGTCATACTTTTGATATACATCTACAAAATCTTTGCTTAACCCGAAGTCACAAAGATTTTCTTCTAAAAATTTACAATTTAATATTTTGTTAGATTTCTGATCTGTTTTTGTACAAGGTGTTATATAGTTGAAGGTTGAAATTCATTTGTTTGCATATGGATGCAAATGTCTAATTGTTCTAGCACCATTTCCTGAAAATATCCTTTCTCTTTTGAGTATCTTTGTACTTTTGTAAATGTC